CCCATGATCCCCTATTGCTCGGAGCCCCATGAGTTGTCAGTTCACCCCTGCTTGTTACATAGAGACGCTATTCATTTGAGTGGTCTTTTCCACCCATTCGGGGATACCAGGTACTGGGCACTGCATAAAGTGTTTGGTGGACATGCCCAGTTATTCAGTTTTCCTTCTGGGAAATAAACTGTGTTAACACAGGAAGGTAGCCAACAGAATAGTTTTTATTTACCCTGTGTATGTCAGACTAAACCGTGCCTATTCCTACTGGGAGCTCAGGCAGAAGCCATATTACCTTCCTCAGCCCAAAACAATAATGGCTGTAGCAGAGAAGAACATCAAGATCACCTGTAACAAGATCTCCTAAACTTCAGAGGATGCCCCAGCCTTTTGGGCAAGCTATACATGCTTTAAATGCTCCCATTCAACCCCACTGGCTGGTTGAACAAAACAAATTATGACTGTATGGACTGCCTTAGGACACATTCACATTTGTGAATGCACCGTGCCAACAATTATCTGTGAGAACCCCAGCATGGGTAGGCAGCCGCATTGAAAGCACATGCTGCGATCACATGTAATTGATACGGCACTGGACACAGACTGCCTGTGTCCAGTGCTGATCACTCGCATAATCACTACTTGAGAGTGTGAGTGGACACGATTAGTTGCGAGAGCTGGTCGCCTTCTATTGCTTTCAATGGGGCTGCCTACTTACAGCTAATCGCAGGAACCTCCAGTGGGGTTTTTGAAGGTAAATGCCAGCAAGGTGCATTCACAAGTATGAGTGCACCTTTAATAGACCGCAGTTATTATCTACAATATACCCCCCCTCCCTGTGCACATGATGCATTTCCTGGCAGGGAACTCATGGGGCCCCCGGGCAATAGGGGATCATGGGGCCCCTGTGTCCTTGCCCAAACTCAAAAAAGCCTATGAAAAAGGTACCAGGGGCATCTCATGGGACCTCCTAATGACTCCGGGCCCTCGTCAGTGCCCGAGTTTCCAAATGGTCAGTCCACCCCTGCTTCCTGGGGATCCAGCTGAAATTCGCTCAGTAGGTGGCTCTTTTGCCTGCCCCCTGCACTTCATTCCTCCATTGAAAAAACAGTTGCTAAAAAGTGTCTCCATCCAATCAGATGCAGGGGTTGGCTGTCAAAATGCAATAGCCACAGCAGGAGATTGGTCCATCTGCACTGTATAGCATTTATGGAGGAAATAAGTGTATGGCCAGCTTTAAGCAATAGGATGTGAAAGTGATGGAAAGGAATTGAGAGATGTGTGAAATGGTGTCTATGAGTGTAGTCCACATCCCTTGCAGCATCTTAACCCCCAGCATTTTCTTGCTGTGTTTATATTTTGCATGCACAGCCCTCTTTTGGCCCCCTTCACACAGTCGGAAAGTCTGTCTGTTTTTCATCCATCCGTTGACTGAGGAAAAACAGACAGCAATGTATTTCTATGGACCAATGGATGTGAATGGATGATCATCCGTTTACCATCCATTTACATGCATGTCTGTTCTGGTCCATTTTTTAAATGGAGAAGGGTATGCCCAGATCTGTTGAAATGGAATGAACTGATGCAGGCCCCTTTTCAATGGGGGTCATCCATTCAGTCACATTTTTTCAAAGAAAAAACGGATTCAGTTTACATCAGTTTTACATTAATTTCCTATAAGTTCTGTCAGTTTACTTCAGTTTTCACTTCTGTTTAGTTCAGTTCAGTTTATATCAGTCTACATCTGTTTTTGCATCCATTTTTACTTAGTTATTGCAGAGATCAGTCAGGTGACAAAAGTATTAACAAAACGGTTCGAAAATGGAACGGATGTAAATGGATGCATCCGTTTACATCCATTGTGTTCCAACAAATTTGGACGTACCCTTAAAAAAACTGACTGGAATGAACATGCATATAAATAGATGGTAATCAGATACCATCCGTTGATATCCGTTGGTCCATGGAAATACATTGCTGTCCCTTTTTTCATCCACCAACGGATGGACTAAAAATAGACAGTCCGATCGTGTGAAAGGGGCCTTAAACAGATGACATCCGTTCCATCTATGTCTGTTTTTAGCCAAATTTTTTATTCGTTTAAACTTTTGTTACCTCTGATTGGTCTCTGTAACACCTAAATAAAAACATATGAAGACTGTTGTGAACTGAACTGATATTTTATTATTTAAGGTACTTATACAGCACTGTCAATTTATGCAGAGCTTTACATATATATTGTACATTCACATCAGTCCCTAACTCCCAAGGGGCATACAATCTAAGGTCCCTAACTTGCATTCATACATACACATAATAGGGCCAATTTAGACAGGAGCCAATGAACCTACCAGCATGTCTTTGGAGTGTGGGAGGAAACTGGAGTACCCAGAGGAAACCCACGCAGGCACAGGGAGAACATACAAACTCCAGGCAGGTGGTGCCGTGGTTGTGATTTGAACCCGCGACCCGAGTATTTCCAGGCAGAAGTGCTAACCATCTAGCCACTGTGCTGCCCTGCCCAGATATGTAGCACCCTCCTTTATAGGTTGCTAGGATGTCTAATTTAGTATAGTATGATCTCCTGCTTAAAGCGGAGCTCCACCCCTATGTTCATTTTAAGGCTTCAACCCCCGCTCCCTGTTAAGGATTGTCACCTTTGGGGGGGTTTTACCTGAATTTGACAGGTATCTGCTCCCACTTCCACTCTAACGGCCCACCTAGGCGATCGGAAGCGGAAGATGTCCTCCCTCCCATGGGACCTGAATTTGACAGGTATCTGCTCCCACTTCCACTCTAACGGCCCACCTAGGCGATCGGAAGCGGAAGATGTCCTCCCTCCCATGGGGCCTGTCACGTGTCCCAGAAGACTACCGGACCATTCACAAAGTGCAGCGCTACTTGCGCACGCTCAGTGGGTGCCTGCCTGTCAAGCTGCAAGCTGTCACAGCCGGGTGCCCACACTGAAGATACCAGAACTGAGGACACAGGAGGGCCAGTGAACTTGGCCGGTGTGAGGACACCACAGGATTGAGGGACAGGTGAGTGTCTGATTTTTAACAGTCAGCAGGTACAGCTTTTGTAGCTGCTGGCTTTTATTTTTTTTTATTTTGACTGGAGCTCTGCTTTAACAGGAGACTGATAGGTAAAACATAGCAGCCTCTCTGCTTAACCCTTTGAGGACCGTAAGATTTTGGAACGCCAAAAGAATCAATTTTTTTGTTTTTAAAGTTCATACACTTCAGTTGCTGTAACTAAGCCATTTCATGAAATAATTGGCAAAAAGCTAGATCCATTTGTTTGTTGATAAGAACTAATATTTTGACTCAAACCAAAAAAAAAAAAAAGAGTTTTAAGTTCTTAATCAGATGATACACGCAATTAAAAACATGGGACAAATACGTCCCTTGGTCCTCACAGGGTTAACAGGCAGCTAACAATTGTTTAGTGAGAGGTCCTGTGTGGCTGACAGTGCTGCGATTGGCTGCGATTGGCTACGATTGGCTCCTGTGTATCCAGGAAACCTTGGAAGGTTCTGAGTGAACAGGAATGACCCATGCAGATCAGCAGCATGAATATGGATGCAGTTCCAGCCAATTACAGGAGTGCTGCCCCTGAGCATGCTGGGTACTAGTATTTATATTTGGTGAGCACATGTGATTTGTATTCTTCCTTTTCCTCTGAGAAGTGAGCTCCTGCCAGGGGAGGCAGCTGCCTCCCTGGCTCATGCTTCCAGGAGGCCAACCCGGAGGCCAGAATGCTGAAATCCAGGGTACTTCTGAGAGCTGACTGAGGGAGATGTCTTCAGATCCTGTCTGGTATCATGAAGGAAGGGGACCTGCAAAAAGGGAGTGAGTACAGCCTTTCCTACATGGATGGTGAGACTTGTGCTGTCTAACCCCCTCGGGATCTATGGCATATAGTCAGCTGCTGGGTGTAAGCTAGAGGGGACACCGACTGGTGTCCGGAAGAGCAATTGTCCACTAAGTCTGCATATTTACAGAGGGACTTTGCTCCATTCTTGTACAGTTTGCCACACAGTCCACTTTGAGAAAGCTGTTGTGTATAGTTTGATTTGGAGTATCCTACTATATCCCATCCCTATCCCAGTTCCAAAAAACAAACAACACAACAAAAAAAAACTACAACCCTAGACTGATCATTGGAGTAACGAGCGGAAGTTGTGTGCACCTGACTAAGGAAATGCTGTGTGCTTGGCTGCAGGAGGAAATCCAGGGGAAATCCTGGGGAAGACACAAGTGGTTCATGCAGGGGTAGAGCTACAGATATAAACGAAAGTGTAAACTGAAAAAACTGACATAAACTGAACTGAAAACTGATGTAAACGGAATCTGTTTTTTTCATTGCAAACACGACTGAACAGATGATGCCCATGTGAAAGGGGCCTTACAGTGAACCTGACAAAAAAGAAACATGGAGGACGAACACCTGAAAATGCTAGGCACCTGGCTGTTATTGTCACCCTTTAGCTTTAATTTCTGTGTGACTAATAAATATGAAGATATAGAAAGTTGGAAAAAGTCAGAAATTCCTAACTGTACTTGTTTTGGGATAACAGGAAGCCCTCTATTGCAAAATATCGTTCCTCGCTATCCCATCCCTCATTTTAATTACCCAACATTTCGTTAAGCTCACAAATATTTACATATTCACTCATGTTGTCTTTTACATAAGCCAAGCTGTAACATATGTTTTTTAGCCTGTTAAAGGCAGAGGCAGTCTACCCTAATTTTACGCTTTATGTGGCTTTGTAGAACTCTCAAATGTTTGTGATGTATGTAATACACATCCATTCAGTGGAAGCCCAGAGAATTTGGGCCAGGGATGGCATTCCAGCTGTCGGTTGTCAAATCCCTCATAATGCTTATCCACCGGGCTCTGGGGTAGTGGAGAAGCCGCTGCATTGCTGAATGTTGCCTTTACTGGTTTATTCTCAGTCTATTGTGTGTAGGCCGTCTCTCACCCTGTTCCTCTGTTTCCTTTTGCAGACTGTGAGTATAAACAAAGCTATCAACACTCAAGAAGCCGCTGTGAAAGAAAAACATGCAAGAAATATCCTTTGAAAAGAAAGAAGCAGGGGGATGCACAAGGCTGCAACAAAAGGTGTTCTGGCAGGGCGTGTGGGAGGAAGGGATCACAATTACTTCTAAATGGGCCTTTACAACAAGAAGTGCAGCATTGTGACACCTCTATAGGTTTAAGGAGGGGGTGGAAAGGGAATGCCAAATGGTGATCACATCAGGGTTTTTTTTTTTGTCCCCACAGGGCAGATCTGGCAGCCTGTCAGGCTATTCTTAGAAATAGAATTAATATTTTACTTATTCATAAAACATGCTACTTTGAAAGAACAGAGGAGAAGGCTGATCCTGACTTGCAGCTGGAAACACGACTTTAATGATGTGTTAGATGTAGTTCTAGTGGCCATGATCATTTTCCCCATTTTTAAGTTGAGCACATTGGTGTGATTAAATATCAGTTGATAAAAATGTTTTTTTTTTCTATGTAACGGTTTCTCTAATAAGCACAAATGGGTCATTTAAAGTATATCGAAAGCCAATTTTTTTTTTTCATTTTGGAAAGAGTGGGGGAAAGGTTAGAATTCCTCTCAGCTTTTGTCTATGTCTCCGCTGGGTCAATTTACTCTCTCTGTTTATCTTGGTGACCACTGGCATTGAAAGTGAGGGAAAATAAAAAATAAAATAGTGGTCAATAGAACTAGGAGGTGAGGTTAAAATCCTGTCTGAGAGGGGATTTACCTCACTTTGTAGAGATTTTTCTCTCACTTCCCAACCTATACTGACATTATATATACTGCATAAGGACCAATGGGTACACTCACCCACAACATTCATATTTATTTATTTAATTTACTTATATACTGCAGTCAATTTACACAGCGCTATAATACCACATCAGTCAAGGGGTGTACAATCTAAGGTCCCTAGCTTACATTCATACATACTAGGGCCAATTTACACAGGATCCAATTCACCTACCAGCATGTCTTTGGAGTGTGGGAGGAAACTGGAGTACCCAGAGGAAACCCACACAGGCACAGGGAGAACAAGCAGACTCCAGGAAGGAGGTGCCGTGGCTGGGATTCAAGCCAACGACCCTAGTGCTGCCAGGCGGAAGTGCTGCCCCATATGACTTTTAGTTGTAAGATTCCTTGCTGTATCATTTGTCTGTGCCTCCTCCTAGGACACCATCATAAAGATGTCACTCTTTCAGTTGACCACTCATTTATTATATTTATTGAGAATCAATTGTGGAAGCAACAACCTTTGGCTGATTCTGTTAGGGATATCCTGAGAAATCTAAGAAGTTATCTTGACCTGCCAGAATAACAAATGTTAGTGGTTATTTGAATGTTCTAGAGTCACCCTTAAACAGCGTCTCTCACTACAGAAATAAAAACATAACCAGATGGTATTATCACAGGTTCCCTTGATACTGCTTTGTGTCTGTTGGCAAAATGGGAATCTAGTGTACCAGATTGTTGCCACCACAATTTATGCAGTGTCTCATCCTGTGGTCACAACTGGTACTGTATGTTTCATTGAGAACACTGGCAATAGATTGCTGCATCTTTGCTAGCCTAAAATCCTGAAGTTACTTTGCTCCTGGTAAGTATTAGTCAACCTAACACAAGACTTTAAAGAATACTCCACTTGATTACCTACAGTGTAGATACAGAAATCTGTAATGAGACTCTAGTTGTCTGAGGTCTTTGTGTACATGGTAGTTCCCAACCTATCTCCTTTTGTTTCTGGCACTTCTTGGATTTGTATACCCTGCTGAAAGTTGAGCTTTAGATGTAGTGTTCAGTTACAGCTGGTACAACATACTATAATTCCCATTAACTTATCAGTTTCAAAATGCCCTAATCAATTTGAACTGTCTTCAGTGAAGTGTACGGACTTCAGTTGTGGCATGATCCATTGTTTCTCTTGGTAGCTAAAATCAATGCAATCCTTCAATAGTGCTGAAGTTAAAGTCTATTTAAAAGACTGCACGTAGTTTATTAGTGTTAATCTGTATGTTAGATGGGGTTTACTATCATTAGTGTGTAAAAGAGTTAAATGGTTGTTGCTGATAATGCTGTCATTACTAGTGGACTTAGCAGACAAAAATGATTAATTTCCTTGTTTTGGAAAACACTTGCTTGGTTGTTTCCTGTCCAGCTTTCATTTCCACATTTCCTTGTGACTTTTCTCTGATTTCGATATGGTAATCTGAGGTCTTCCTGGAGGAAGCTGCAAGGGCTCAATTTCTCCTGATCTGTAGATATGACACCATATTTTGCTAACTGCCAACTGTGGCTGTAGCCGTTACATTGAAGTGTCAGCAATAGTTGTCATCTCTGGGATACAACATTCTTGGTTTTTCTTTTTTGAACTATAAGATACCAAAGTTGAAAATTAATTTTTTAAATCCATTTAAGGATTTAGTCTACAAAACCATAGCTTCTGTTTTTCATTCTGACATTGAACATCAGTGCTAAAAATGTCTGTTGCCAGTGACTATTTGCTGAGCGATGTAAATGTCCATGAATTCCTGATTATGCCTACTGTAAGCTCTTGGGTGTCTCTAATGCAGAGAAAGGGAATTATCTGACAAGTAACTTACCCAGAAGCATTTGAAAATGGATAGCATAAATTTTATAGAAGAGTTATATGTGGTAGCTAAAAATTTTTTTTTTTAGTATAGCACTACCTCCTTAAGAGTTGCAAAGATTTTGGGTTCCCCTGCCCTGCACAGCCAGGCAACATGCATTTTCATGCAGACTTGCATCCAGGAGTCAGAGATTAGTCCTTGAGCATTGTTTTTGTGATTTTTATTAGGGGGATTTGAACTGGGATAGGGTTAGGGGTGTACAGGATGCCCAATGGAACTGATGGAACTGACAACTTCCTGGAACTATTTGCAAGCCTCCACTGCAACACAGTCTTTGTTGAAGAGCTACCCAGCATCTCCTAGTGTACCACCCCAGACCCTAAACTCCTCTTCCTTTACCCAGCTGCCTGGAGACATTCCTGAGCAGGGGATCCTGTGCCTGGCAATTTAAGAGATTAGACAGTCCCAGGAGGTGGTGAATCTGGTTTCCCAACAGAGTGCTCCTTCCCCTATCTAGCCCAGAGGGTGCAGGTCGATTCACTCAGTCCTTCTGCTATGCAGCTGGTGGGTTTGTGGCTGCTACCAGGCTCTCTACCTGAGCCACTCCTTCCCTGCTACACAAGTGGTCCTCACTCTGGGGCCAGTGTCTGAGCTTTCACCTTTCTCAGCTCCACTCTCAGGCTCCTGCCTTCAGCCTCACATCATCCTCTCTGTCTTCCACCCAAACTCTCCTGCAGCTGGGCAGGCTCACTCACTTTTAGGTGTTGGCCTGGCCCCTTGCCAAGCCTCCTGTTGGGGACAGGCCAGGATTCCTTAAGGGTAAAAGCCAGCCACTCCTCAGATCCACCCACTGCATCCAGACCTTTCTCCAAAGTTCTAGAGCGGTAACAAATTCCATAGGGGCTGCCCTGCAGATTCTCTCAGCTCTGACCAAAGTTTGACCCTTGCTAGCTATCATCACACCCAGGCTGCTACTCAGCCTTCCTAGCTAACAATCAGTCAATTGGCTCCCCTGGTAGGCTTGGAGGGTGCTGCAATAGAATAGAGAAATGATAAAACCATGACAGTGGTCACCAGGACTGATAGAAAAGGGAGCCTTCCCAGATTGAGGTCATTGCCTCTGTTGGTCATTTCATAGCATCCTTCATGAAAAGAATTAAAAAGAAAATGCAGAACCAAAACATATTCTAGAATAACCCACACAGACAGTAATAGACCCAGGAAAACACAACTTCTATGTAATGCGGCTAGAGCTGCATGAAGGTAAAACTTGGTGAAGGTAAAGCTTCAGCTGTGAGCTGCAAAGCTATCTTGTTTATCAAAAATAAGTATATTATCTAACAATATGAAGTGTGTGTTTCCTAAAGCAACTAAGGCCACTTGCCAATCTTCAGATTTGCATGAATGTGTGTCCATGCCTCTATAAGCATTTGAAAGTCTTTTGTACTCCTGGAGTTGTCCTTTAATGATCAATGAATCAGTCAGCGAATGATGTGCTTTTAACACATACAGTATAGACAACACTAAAAGCACCCATGCATAATGTCAATAGATCTTCATGAGGACAACTCCTGAAGTACACGTGCAAATGCATACAGACGCTTTGACACACATTCAGCATTTGAAATTGCACATCTGAAGTGTGTGGTCTTGGTTGATATTGGAAACACACACTTCCTATTTTTATATAATGTACTCCTTATTTTTTAATGATACCAGGAATAGCTTTGAAGCTCAGAGCTGAAGCTATGTCCACCCTTTTTTTTAACTGAGGTCAGTGTGGAAAGTTTGTAGTGTTTAAAGTAGTCCTCTTCCCACAACTATATTTAGTTTGTGAAAAGCCCTATGTAGACTCTGACATTTTTTTAACACCTTTGTTGATCCAGGTCTACTACCCACTGTATGGGCTCTGTCAGGGCACTTATTTTAACAGTTTTTTTCCAAATGTCTAGATGTGCAGCATCAAAGGATGATGAGCTGGAGAAAGACTTCTGGAAAGAATTCACCATACTGGATCTTGGTATCAGAGCTGAAAAATAAGGCTTAATTTACACTGGTGTTTAAATGGGGCACTTGACATTTCTGGTTGTGTCCCATATAATGAGTTTAAATGTTTGTGCAAAGGTGAAGATGTTAAATGGGTACTAAAATAAAAAATGGCATAAGTGGTACAGTCTGTCACTAGCAGTCTTTGTCTATGATTAAGCCCGGATAGGTGGGGTGAAATGCATTAGAGATAGAGCTCAGGAGGAGCCCAAGACTGAAGCCATTTACATTCCTTTTCTCCTGTTGACCTAATGGTGTGTGGCATCTCTCATCCCCTCATACCTCCTGTAACTTAGTTCTTTACCTATTGATCCTTCTGTATTTTTTCAACTTCCTTTAATAGACCAAGCTGTGCAGCAAAAGTGGCAGTTAGTGGGTTGAAACAAACCATTTAACACTGAGTTGGGTGCTTATGATGGTCAGCTTTTATTAATTTAGTTAAAACCTTTATCTCAAAAGGAAAGAAAAAACAGTTTCCGTAACTGCTTAAAAAGTGTTAGCTGGACTTAGGTTTTAATGTATAACTAAAGGCAAAACATTTTTTTTTTTTTTTAGATTTGGATAGAGTGTAGAGGGATTGGAACTCTTACAAAGAAAAAACTGGTAAAGAAAAAAAAAGAAAAAACTGGATTGGAACTCTTGTCAGGTTTTCATTGCTGAGAACAAAGAGAAACATTTAAATTTGGTCTTTAAACTCTGGGCTGAGAAAAATATATACTACTCAATAAATCATATGAAAACATATTAATTTTATTATTCCATAAATTCAACACTGCACTCGGCATAGCTAAATATGCGACAGCCTATTATTTAGCTTCACCAGGACATGAATACATTAAATATCTCTGTTCTGACACAGACTTATTCATAAAGACTTATCTTAAATTCTGGAAAAGCTCTTAATGTCCTAAATTAGCTCACATGAAAAATGTCATACCTGGGACCAAATCAGCATATGTAAACAATAGCCCAGGGTTTAAAGACCCAATTTAATTGCGCCTCTCTGTTCTTATTATTGTCTTGGGGTTAAAATCCTTGCCTTATATATGAATGAAGTCATGCACTGATTTTTATATATCTACTTCTACTTTTAGAATTTTATAAATTTTTATATGTACCTGGATTATACTCTGCTGATTTAATCTGAACGTTCAATTGGGTTTTAACTGCAGAGTACAAGCAAGCTCATTCCTGTGTGAGACATGTCTGAGGAACCCAGGCAGACAGAGAATGATCAATGGATCAATAATGTTTTAATGCGGTAAAGGAAATTGGGTTGTGGCATCTATTTTTATGTTTGTTACATTGAAACTTTACAAAGAAATTCTGATGTGGACAAAGGAGCAATATCCCAAAGTTAATTGTGTGCAATGCTAATATATTTGTGCTGCATGTTATTTCTAGCAATAGTTGTTATTATTGATAATATGTTTTCTGAAACATATGAGTTGCTTTCTTAACATAAATCCACCTTGTATTTTGGGGACACACCATGAGAAGGGGGCTCAGACTTTTTGGGTAGCTGTGAACCGCCTGCCGCTGTCCAGCAATGCAGTTCTCTGCTGGAAGTTCTGCCACGTTTTTCACAAGCTGCTGCGAGATGGTCACCCCAATGTGAGTATGGGATGCAGTCCACATCTTGTATACTTACCAGATTAAATATCTTTGAATGCCCAAATACATGTCATGCATATCTCCTAGATTGTAAACTCCAAGGATCAGGTCCTCCTATCCCTCTTGTATTGAACTGTATTGTTGCTGTATTGTCTCCCTTTATATTGTAAAGCACTGAGCAAACTGTTGGCGCTATATAAATCCGTATTATAATAATAATAATATGAAAACATTTACTGCATTCTGCCAAAGTCCTATCAGAATTTTTGTGTACCAGTATTAGCTTTCCAACCTCACACCTACTTGAGTTTTCTGCTATTTTAGAGCTATGACTTATGCTTGGAGTAACTTATCTAGAATACAAGCAATTCATGAAACTTTTATCAGAATGTAATTACTCATCAAAGGCTTTAACAAAGTTCCTTTTCTGAGATACGTTTCATGTACTCCCTGTTTTTAGGTTTTGAAGGACTCTCTGCGTTACAAAAATGAGCTCATTGACATGAGCCGGATGTGGGTAAGAGCATTTTGTCTACTAGCTTTATGTCACTTGATACAAATCCACTTTTGTTAAAGTGCCTCTCTTCTTGTTGAGAATCTGTCCTGGTTCTGTAGCAAAGAGCAGGTCCTGTAATTGTTTCACTGTAGATTGGCAGCAGTGCATGAAAGAACAAGACTGTGGGGCTTTCTTTTTTTGTTTGTAAATAGGGTGTCTATTTTTTAAACTGAATAAATTAACAATTAACTTCTTTGAATTACGATAAGATCATCCTCTCAATAGACATTTTCTATTCCAGATCCTGTAACCAATATTGTTTTGTATTTTGTTTGCCAATACCTCCAAGTGTGGTGGACTGAGTTCCCTAAACGTAATCCTAAAGATTGCCATTTGTGTGTATTTTAGGGGCATCTTAGTGATGGGTATGGACAGTTATGTAGCATCTATTTGAAGCTTCTGAACACAAAGATGGATTTCCACACAAAGGTAAGAGTACAAAAACCTGATATTTACTACTGATATCTAGCTTTTTAAAACTGAACTCTGTGAAATCCAGAATAATTTTCTGGTTCAGTCGCATTAATACATTAAAGACTAAGTTCACCTTTTTTCTAACTTCCAGATCCCCTATGTACCAATATACCATTAATGCACCTCTGTTGCAAAAAATAAAAGCTTTCTTTGATTTTAAGAACAAAGCCTTACCTTAGCCCTAGCTGTATATCTTAGAAAGCATCATCAGTTACTGGTATGTAGATTTGGGACAGAGAAACCAGTAAGACACAGGAAGGAATTTACCAGCTGAGCTCATTAGCACACAAATCCTGCACTGACCCACCAAAACATACACCCTCCACCCAACAACTATGTTTGTACGTCATCCCCAGCATCCCTCCACACGTGCATTTGTCTGGGTTCCCCTGCATCCCTCCAGATGGGCCCAAGCTGCATGCTAAATTCTCTGGGCTTGCATGCGTCCCCTGGGTTGGACACCCTTGATGCAGTGCAAGGGTCTTCCTGATTGAATACAGAATGAATGGATAGATGGTGTGTCCTCCTATTATATAGTTTTGGTAAATCTAAAGGAGATTGTACAGAGTTTGTACAATCAGATTGTATAGTGTGGCCATCTGTATGCACTTAAACTTAACTAGTTGCGCTTTCAGTGCCATTAATTGTTCATGGCACCCCAAACACAGAAGCAAACACATTTTGCCTCATGAAAAAAATGGGTGACAAATGCAGCAAAACGCACTGTAAAAACATGCAACTTGCACCATACCAAAATGTACCATGAGTTACTTTGCCACGTGTAGCACAGCCCATTAGAATCAACAGGCTGCCCTATGTGTGTCACTGAAAAAAGGAGCTAAAAAACATGCGTTCCCACTACTGTAGGGCTGAAAGTGAATTTGGTGTGTTTACGTAATAACAATGAGGCTCCATTAACATCTGTGTGTTTCCAGATGCATGGCAAACTGCACAGAAAAAACACATATTTTGCTTCAGAAACGTGCTGACAACGCACCAAAAAAGGGAAAAAAGGGTGCGGTATGTGAAGATGTGAACAGTGCCTGACAGTTGAGTGTCTCCATCCACTCTCACACCCGTCTGAACAATCCATTCAATATGTATAAAAAATCATGCCTGCTCTTGCACTATATAGCTGATGTGAGATCTAAAGGAGATGTATAATCAGATTGTAATGTGTATGGTCACCTTATGGTAAGAAGTAGGTGGTGGTAAAGTATTGAGGGAGGTGTGGTCCAGACTGGTAATACACGCCTATCACACCCTTTCCTGTGATGCAAAATCATAGAGAATGATGGGAGCTTACCTACAAGAAGTGTTGCAAACTGAAAGAATTTTTAATACTCATACAGAAACATGGAATTTCAGACTCTTTGAGGACAAGGTATGTGAGAGATAAGAACATTTAGATTGCTGGGTCAGAAATTACATCACAAAAGGATTCTATTATATTATGAAAAGTGAAATTCTGTCCAAAAAGGTGAACTTAGCCTTTAAAGATGGAGATTCTCCCTTGTTCCATTTATACTGTATACTCAATATGATTCCGATTATTCCACTTAGGGTTTTCTTTACCCAACTCAGATCACTGAATTGATATAGGGACCCCGAAGACCCGGTCTAAAAATTGCAGTCCTCATAAAGCCTAAATTGGCAGGTGGCTTGGGTTTTCCAAATTTTGACCCGTACCACAAAGCTGCTCTATTAAATAGAGACTGGTTCTATCAAGAACCCAACAAACCTTTGCGCACTTCCCTGGCTGCCCCCTGCCCAATGTCTCCATCCATCCCCATTAACTTTCTATCCGAAACGCTTATTTCTCTATGAACAGATATATCTCTCCAGGGGCGGACATACCATCTCCTTTGAATTCCCTCCCACCATAAGGGTCCCATTGACTCCTAATTTGATAATCCATTTTTCGGACCTAGTTTACCAGACAGCCATAATAGCAACATTGTTTAGTAGAAGCACTGGTCCAAATATATGTAAATTCCTTTCTGTTACCTCTTTATGTTTTACTTTTTCTGTGTCTGGCAATTAACTGGCTTATGTCTCAACATCCCCATTAACTTTCTATCCGAAACGCTTATTTCTCTATGAGACAGATATATCATCTCCAGGGGCGGACATACAACTCATGGGGCCCTCGGGCAATAGGGGATGTACTATGGCTCTCATTCTCTTCTGTAAGACCCTCTGGCCATGAGCCTGCTTATTCAGCTGATTGTTTTCAGTATGTATGCCAGTTTTGTACTGTTATCTTGTACATAGCTTGTAATTCTGTATTTTGTCTGTTGTCTTACTTTACCCTCTGCCTTGTACTCTTTTGAAAATGTCTGAATAAAGAGTTATTTGACTTTAAAAACTGACCTCAGTGCTAAGTTTTGTAAATATGTGCATACCAACTTTTTTTTTTCTAACTGAAAAGGGATATCTTATTTAGTTTGGTCAGTTTTGTGATCCAGACATTTCTGCTAGACAATCAACAATATTCAATTAAAATGTAATTATAAAAGTGATGTCCCAGCGGACTGGCTGTACTATTTATTATTTACAAATGAAAGCAGATCTTGGGCCTCTCTGTAGACTACACTAGAGCTAAGCAATACAGCCTGGTCTAGGGCACACCCTAACCTCTAATTGGACGTTGAGGAGCAGCAGCAAACTGATGAGGTCATCTGTGTGCTCTTCTTTTCTGTGAGCTTGTTTACATGTGCATTGTGCAGAGCCCTGACTGGCTCAGGGTATTGCCTCTCTCTCTCCCCGTTTGAATTCTGCTTTTATGAAAGACACCAATCTATTACATATTCTATGGCAATCCTAATTATTGAATACTGTGCAATGCATGACAGAAGGGTAAAATCAAGACAGTCAGGAACTTAAACTAATTTTACCTAATGATTTTTTAATGAACATATAATTGGATTAAAAGGTGTTTTTCATATCTCCCAGGAGTTCTGTTTTAATGATCACATTCCTACTTCTTCATGCTTAATTCTCTCTCTCTCTCTCTCTCTCACTTTCTGCTATTTCAAACTCTTCTTTTGTTCTACAGATCTAAATAAAATCTTTAATATAGTTCCTCCTGTGCACAATATTTAACCATTTTTCTGTTTCCCGTGCCTAGAACCCTCGTTTCCCGGGCAACCTACAGATGACTGACAGACAGCTGGATGAGGCTGGAGAGAATGATGTCAATAATTTGTAAGTCCTACCATGAATACATTTGCTTAATATAAAATTTCTTTTGCTCAAACTGTTACTTTGACAAGGCAGATACTAACAATGGTCTGTCAGACATGATCCTCAATCTTTTATTTTTCAAGAGCTAGCTATTAACCCCCAAATACAATTTATTTTATTGCAGTTTACCAAGTCTTATATGTGATGGCTGCATTAGTTTCCTTTTTTATGCTTGTTATCCTTTATTTTCTGGTTATCCTGCCATTTTACATTTTTAATTTCCTTTAGCAGACCAAGTTGTTTAGCATAAGTGGCAGTTTGAGGGTTCAGTCAATCTATTTACCAATGACCAGGATTCTTTCGATGGTCAGTGTTTATTTCATTTTATACAATTTATTACCTAAAAGAAAAAAAAAGAAGCTATTTTTGTAACTGCTTAAAAAGTGTAGCTGGAGTTCAATCGAACCTGCTTGGTGCCGACGGTACACAAATATGCAGCCTCCCAGCGGCTGGGCCTTGATGCCCAGATGCCACATATTTGCATACCCACTGTAAACAAACATGTTGAGAACGCGTGTCATGCGTGCTCCCAGCATATTCACCGGAGCCTCATGGAAAGGTCCCAATTGCTACTTGCGATTGGGAGCTTTCCGATTATGTGACCGCTTTGACAGCCAATCACTGCAGTCACATGACTGTAAACCCCTCCCCGCCTCCTGTTGTCACAAACCCCTTAAAGGACCAGGAGGTGCTGGCTCCAAGGGGTTAATTTTTTAAGCTGGATATACACTAGTAATATTTCTTTTGAAAATCTTTGTTTTCAGAAGTCATAGTGGAGTCAAATCAATGCTTGTTTTTTTACCTCAGCAAAAGAAAATTTTAAGGAGCAGGATGGAAAATTTTTCAAACACCCTAGGTGGTTTTTGTTTGAGAATTGACATTCATTCCAAAATTGAATGCTAAAAGCAAGCTTTATTCAAGTTATTAAATGTACTGAGAATTTCTCATATGAACATTTGTGGAAAATCTACTAGTGTATAGCCAACTTTAGTTAAGTCCATGTAAATCTGCTAGTCCATTTAACACTACCTTCTTCCCATACTGATGAGGCTGCTGTTCAAAGGTGTCTCTGTAGCTCCTCCATCCAGATTTGAGGCACCCTAAAACAGGAGGTGTGTTACTGGCTGGATCACCAGGTGAAAATAAAGGACACAAAATCCTAAAACAAAACAAATGCAGCCTCCACATTTAAGGATTGGTAAACTCCAATATAATATTTTTGGGTTTAATAACATTTTTTAATTCTTTTTAATATGGCTATTATGATTTATAGTTGAGTGTTACTTTCCCTGAAGCCAGTGCTCAGTGTTAGCATATAAGCAGAAACATAAGTAAAACAAGCCCTGCATCAGAGCACTTTTTAATAAATTTTTTTATTTCAATTAGAAATAAGCCCTCACAAAATAATAATTAGTTGTGTAGCTGAACTGAGCAAGCATTGTCACCCTAGGACAGAAATATATCTGTAGTCTTGCTGGTGTGATTTATTTGAAAGCAGGACATTAAAAAAGATGACATTGATTGATACTTTAGGAACCTGTACAACAACATACTGTGTTTTAGTGCTTGAGTTCAAATACACTTTAAAGAACAGGTCAGTACAAAAATCAGTCAGTGTACATAGAATGGCAAAACAAATTAATACTTTCATTATGTTAGGGTAGTGAACGCCAAACACGTGTACATTTTTCTCCAAGTTGGGGATGAGACAAGCAGGAATCCCAGTTATGGAAAACATAGTTGAAACATGCCTACCAACAGAGCTTAGTCCAACATCAAGTATTCTGACTCAGATTGTTGTGATAGCGATTTATCCCTTGTGAGACCTCTCTGCCTAGCCTGTATAAGCAGATATAATCACTGTGGACAATCCTTATCAGATAGCTTGAACTCACCAATACTGTGTTCATCCAGAAGTTGCTTTATTCTGTACATGTGAAACAGGATACAGCAGAATGAATGGTTTCCAGTATTATGCGGTCAAAAGATGATACTTTCTGTAGCGTACTATGCAGAATACATGTGTCCCTGTTACATGTGGTCTGTTAGCTGCCTCCATGACACAGGAAGTGCTGAACTCAAGAAGAAGGGAGGAGCTTCATATACAAAGGAATTGTGTCATAGATCTCAGGGAGGCAATATAAAACAAATGCATTACCAAATAAGACCACTGGATGGCAGCATTACTAATTATAGAAATGTCCATAGGAAATGGTACAAAAAATAAACTATATGAATTCTCATGTACATTAACATAAATATTAACTGTGTGTAACAGCATATCAAGGCATGTTCCCAACATTACGAAACCTAATTTCTATCATTCAGTTGTTTATGTACAACAGTAGTCTATAAACTGCAGCCCTTGGTCAAGATCTGGCCCTTTGCTTGTCTTTATCCAGCGCTTGGGACACTTTTCCTCCTAATAATGCAATACACTATTCCTCCCACTGACAGCAACAATGGAGTATAATTCCTGTTACTGGCATCAACAAAGGAACACTATTCCTTCCACTGCCACCATCGTTGGGGGAATATTCCTCCCACTGACACCAATGTTGGGGGGAATATTTCTCCCACTGACACCAACAATGGGAGACTGTTCCTCCCACTGACACCAATGATGAGGAACCATTCCTCTCCCTAATGCCAAAGATGCACTTTTTACTCCCACTGACAGGACACCCCGATGTACAGTATATACAGTGAATCAAAGTCAGATTTCTGAAACTGATGTCTCTGTTGTGTAGCTTTTTATTGTTTTAAAGGGGTATATGGATAGCTAAGAAACCAAGGGGTCTAGATTTGCCAGGATTTGCCTTTCTGGTCCTTTGTGGCTTTTTATGGGTTTTCCATCTGGTGGATCTTTTTAATCCTAGAAAACGAATGCATCTTTGGAATGCAGACCTTTGCGGCCCTAATAAGGTCTATTCAAAAAGGAGAAAGGTGTATCATGCAACAAATATGTTGCCAGTATCCTCATAAGAAACACATGCATGAGAGTTTAATGTTGTCCTGGTCCTTTATGGCCTTGGTAAGATTCTTCATCTATTGGATCTCTGTAATCCTAGCAAGCCATTTGTTGGGGTTGTGGTATGTTCCACGTTGCAGGGATGCAGGACTTTTAGGCCGTAGGAAGATATATCATAATGAGTTTTATATTTTTTGATAGCTAAAGGTTTTTTGTGCAACAAGTAAGTTGACGATCTCCTCAAAAGAGACACACCCATGATTGTTTTAACTGCAATCTCTACTAAATCCCAAAACTCCCAGCATTCCCAAAAAAATATACAGAAGGTTATAGAATTACTTTTACCTATTGGTGACAGTTAAATTTATTTTGTAATACTACACAGTATACCATTTGCTAGGAATCACCAACATCATAAGGTTCTGCTTGTACTGTTCAGGAGGTTAGTCCTGTAAAATTAAAAAAAAAAATGAAAAGCTGTATTTCTATACAGCTGAGAACACTGCTTGCATTAAGTTTGCCTCCTCAGGGCTATATGGGTTTCCTACAGGTTTTCCTTTTTTTCCATACAGTGCAAAAACTTGCTGCTAAGCGTGTTGTCTTTTTACCAAATTGTCTCTACATTGTGTGTGTCTTCAGGGCACAGGAAAAGAAAAGTGGGCTTGGTAAAGCACTGTGGAAGAATTGTCAGGACTATATACTGGAAACGTGTTTAATGTATAATATAAACACATCTGTAATGCATCCTACTCATTGGATAACACAGTAATTTCTGCATCTTGTGACACCAGATTTTCATTATCCTGAGGTCAGATTACAGAAAAATTGGTTTATATTAAATATAGTACTTGCCTGTACATCTCTATTTGCTGTCTAAAGAGGCCATTTGCTTTGGATCCAAATGAAATGTTTGAATGTCTAAATTAATTAGCTCTGTTCAGTTGAAAGTGGCGTTCATAGTATTGTAATGTACTGAACAGAAAAAAAAACGTCACCTTTTCTCAAAAAATGAAATGCTAATACCATCTGAATGTGACTGATGTGAATGTACAATATATATATGTAAATCGCTGTGTAAATTGATGGTGCTATATAAGAAGCTGTAATAAATAAATATTAAAATAATACATATACCCTCCCCACCCCCCAGGCTGAACTTACCTCCACAATTACCCTTCACTGCCCACACAGGTGGTTCAAGCATCTGGGGATTTAAAAGCCTTGATTTTCTTCCCCTTCTGTCCTTAGAGATGCTGGGATGGATCAGAGCAATTCTGGTTGGTCAGAGTGGTCACTCGACCAATCAGAATTGCTCTGATCCATCCCAGAAGAAGACTGCAGTTTTTAAATCCCCAGATCCCTGGTCTGGCTGCAAAGGCAGTGAAATCTAGTCATCCGCATTGGTAATTACAGTGGGAACAGTAATTTGTAGAGGTTATCTTTCATTTATTATTATTTTATTAAAAATAACAATTATTTCATTTCATTACATTGCATATCCAGATGTGAGGGAAGAGAGAACATCAGGAGAAAAACATAACACATACAGCAAAAATAAATGGACAGGGGGTTTTAACCCTTCTCTACCTTATCCGAAACACAATAAAAGGTTTAAAGGTTTTGGCTTTACATACACTTTAATATGGACATCAGTTTTATACCATCAGGAGAGTGAAGGGTAAGATAAATATAGCCAAATAATCCAAATAGTTTAAAAGCTAAAAAAACCCAAAACTTTAGGCTCTAAAAATGTTTAATTCTCTTTCCTGATGAGTGAGTTTGATTTGCCCATCACTAACTATCTCCTGGCTAGCAGCCTCCATACAATATTCACATTTCTCAGTGTCAGCATTTACTTATATAATCCCCAATGGAATGTGTATGTTATATATACACAGAAGAACTTACCATGCCCTAGTTTTACATTAGGAAATGCTGACTTACAGTGCTGACAGCGAATTGCCTCTTCTTTATCACTATGAGATGAAGCGAGGAAGGAAACCGATTGAACGACATTATGACCTGGAACTGTTATCCATCTTTTTGCATTGAATTCTTTATGTCTGTTCTTCCAGACAAGGCGACCATCATCCATCTCACATCCATTGGTCTGGTTTTTGTAATTCAATGAATTCTATTGATTAAATTATCTTAGCCACTTTATAGTGTACCGAGAAATATAAACCTGTCAGATGTCTGCTTTAACACCTCAGATGTTTATTTATTACTATACTCAGGATGAAATTCTTAGTCAATAATGTGGGAGGTCAGTTAAAGTAGCATGAACAGGGGCTGGTAAATAAAATTTAGTGCAAAATAAAGATATAATGCATAACTAGGGAAATCATTCAAAGGGTCTGACTGTGTAAGGGACCGCCCGGCGACACCACTAGCACTCCACTAATCAGGCGTCCCCAGCGCACGGAGTCTAAGTCCCAGAGTACTTGTTCACCAGGGCCCCTGATGGTGGGGATGGACTTAGAGTACCCCGGGACCAGGTCGTGCTTACTGAGGATACCCGTCAGTGGTAGGGGTGTTCGCCAGGGGCTCCCACGGGAGAGAGCCTGATATGAGGAGGTCTGGAGACCCCGCTGAGAGGGATGGATGGATGGATGGATGGCTGAGCAAGTGCAGAGTCAGGCAAGCCGGGTCGGTAACGGGGAGGACAGTACGGTACAAGGCAGCGGGCAGAGAATAGTCGGGTCACACGCCAGGTCATCAACAGTAGGTCAGATCCAATAGGGGACATACGGAAGAGAGGTCAGGCAAAGCAAGGGTCTGGGCAGGAGAATTCAGCAGTGGTCAGGTACAATCCGGGTCAGCAACTTACAGGTTCAGGTTCAGGATACAGGATGCAGGGCAAGGACAAGACCAGAAGGCACCGAATGACAGCTCAGGGCCGTTTAAATATCGCGCCCTGCGCTGCCATTGGTGCCCAGCGGGCGGCCGCGGTTCGCCCTGCGCATGAACTCACGCGCCGCGGCCGGCCCGGACCTAGAGCTCGCATCCCTGCACAGGGCGGCATACTGCGCCTGCACCGGGACCATCGCGGCGGGGATCGAGGGGATCCCTGACAGACTGGTTGTTGCTGATTTTATTTTTGTTTTGGGGGTATTAACTAAGAGCAGCCTAATTCTGTGCAGATCAGTATCTTTAGGTGCCGGGATTTTGGTGCTGTAAAATCTTGGACTGGGACTGTGGTCTCTTGATGCCAATAATCCCAGCACGCAGTGGACAACGTATGCATTTTAGGGGTTGATGTGGTCTTAGGAAGGGTTAATGATAGCGTTTAAGATATGGTCAGCTTAAATGTGGCCATGATTTTTGGAAATCACCCTAAAAAATCATTACAGAGGGTAAAATTTAGGAACAGCCAATAAAACACATTGGAAATCAGAGAGCCTAGTTAACTTATGCCCCGTACACACGATAAGGAAATCGTATGAAAAATTTTGTGGAACCACTGATCGAACGATTTTCTCCTCGTTGATGAGCAGGATGTTTTAACCGATAACGATATTGTGACCAAAAAAATCTGTTGAACAACAGTGAAAAATATTGTTTTGCATACGAATGACTGATTTTCTATGCATTGGTATGACGGTTGTACGAAAACAATCTATCAAGCGCTATCACACATGAGCGAAAACAGAAGATGACTCGGATGTTTATGGCTAAGCAATCTTCGTAAACACGAACGAAAAATCCAAATGTTAAAAGTAGACTGGCCTAATGAGATAATGAAAGCAGAATTATGCATATTATATTGTTATGTATCACTATTTATGTATATAGGTAATGTAATAAACTATATTATACTCATTGCTAATAATTGTTGTGTATATCGTTCATTTTTGCCGGAAGGGCGTGGCTACAAGGTCACATGCACACTGCATCACTTCCACTTGTACGGAAGACGTCAACGCTACGTATTGCCCGACGAACGATTTTTTTTTTTTCACATTGGTTAATGTGGGCCACGATTTCGACCAACGAACGAACGCCTCTCGGTCGTCGAATGACCGATCGGTCGATTTTCTAATCGTGTATTCCCACCTTAACACTCAGTGGCCATTTTATTAGGTACTCCTATCTAGTAAAAAGACAAATATTTGTTAGAGATTCTGGTCCATGTAGACTTGATACCATTACAGTTTCTGCAAATTTGTTAACCGCACATTAATGCAACAAAATCTACTACCTCAGCCCAAAGGATTAATCAGATTCTGCCTTTGTGTGCATGTGGCAGCAGAAGCTGAGATCCATCAAGCCAAGTAGTGTTTTTCCTCAGTACCCTAATTCATGCATCTTCCTGTTTTAGTTGAAACTCTTGGCCACATCTTTATGAAGCTCTAGCCACGTCATTTGCTGTTTCCTTTTTTTGCATTAATGTGACCACTGATTGTACATGCCTTGTTTGGGCCTCTGTTCCACATATAGTTATTATATGTGTAGCACTACCCCCTTAGGAGTTACTAGAGATTTGGGTTCCCCTATAGTCCTGTACAGCCACGTGTTTCCTTCCAGCCTTGCACTCCAGAAACAGTAAACAGTCCTTGAACTTGTTTTTTTGGATTTTATTAGGGGACTGAAACGTGGATGAGGATGAGTGACATATGGGATGCCAATGGAACTGTTTAACCGAGCACAACTCCTGGAACTATGTACAAGTGCTCAGAAGGGTTTTCTCTTCTTGGAGAGCTAGCCAGTCTCTCCAGGTATAGAAATCCCTGGACAAGGGAATCTAGAGTCTGACTCTTTAAAAAAGCAAATCCAGATGGGGACTAGTTAGATTTACCACCCAAATGTCCTCTCCCCTATTCCCATCTAGAGGGTGTAGAATTACTCACTGTCCCTCTTCTGTAGGCTGCAGTCCTTCTTCTGGGGCAGCTCCTTCCTTAGCTCCACAGATGATCCTTTCTCAGGGAGCCAATGAGGTTAAGCTTTTCTTCTGTCTGCAACTCCCCTTGAGGTAGGCCCCTTCCCTGGCCCTCCTCCGAGACTCCATTCTCTAGTTCCTGCCCTCACATCTTCCACCCAAACTCTCCTGCTGCTGATCAGGCTCAACCACACTTAAGGACTGTCCTGACCCCTTGCCAAGCCTCCTGTTTGGGGATTGGCCAGATCCCTTGAGAGTGCAGACTTGCTTCTCCTCACCCCCACCCACTGAATTCTAGAGACTTCTCCAAATCTCTACATCAGGTGTAGGTTTTGGAGAGCTGATCAGCAGAGCCTCTCAGCCCTGACCCAAATTTGACCCCTTTGGCTATTCCACCAGGCTGTTACTCAGCCTCTAACTAAAAATATAATCAACTAGCTCCCCTAGCAAACTAGGAGGGTGCTACATAAGTTATTCATGTTCATCTTTTTTTAGATCTTATGTAAAGTGCCCTTCATCCATGCAGCAGACCCAGCCATCTTATAAAGCTAAATAAAGCAGTTTGTTTTTAGAAGCCATTCCTAATGAATATCTGAATAAATAATGCAAGTATTCAGAAGGGAATTAGCTTCCCTATGTTTGGAAATGCCAACGTAAAAATGTCACACTGTATGTAACTGACAGGTACACTTACCTTTAAGGTGATGATGACCATTACAATTTGATGCAACGTAGAACACTCTCTAGTTTGGCTGTGGTGGTGGAAGCTTCTCTGTTTATTAATTTTTCTTTTATGTTTTGATCCTATTCAGTTTTCAACTCACTGTGGAGATATTTGATTACATGGAATGGGAGCTCAATCTGTTTCATGCAGGTAAGTGTCATATTTTCTTTAAAAAATATATCTGTAAAATTTGTTTGACACTTTTTGTGTCACAGCACTGACAACAAGAAGAGAAGAGAGTTGTCAATGTTATAGGATCCATCTTCCTTAGCATCTAATAGTGTGCAATGAACACAGTCCTTCATTGAATCATTTCCCATTAAAAGTGTATGTTAAGACATGCCTCTTATGTTAGTTTTGGATAGAATGTAGAAGGTTTAGAACATCTGTTGGGTTTTTATTTCTGTCTGCATCTCCACAATGTATTTTCACCCTCACTTCTGGTCATTGTGATCATTGTCTCCAGTACTGAAAAAACAATGTGAAGGAGATGTAGGGCCAAAGCTGTTTTGGCGCTACTTGTCCTATGGATCACAGGAGTGCATTTCATTTTACACTCCTGTGACCCATTTTCAACCGAAAGTGGGCTAAAACCTAGTACACATGTTAAGTTTTTTTATGTTCAGCTCAGAAAAATAATCAGGTCTCTGTACTAACTATTATTATTATTATTATTATTATACAGTATTTATAAAGCGCCAATAGTTCGCTCAGCGCTGTACATTACAAAGGGGGACAGAACATGTGACAGAACAATACCAATACAATGTGATACACGAGGGGTTCGAGGGCCCTGCTCTTTTGAGCTTACAATCTAGGAGGGAGGGGGGTGGTGGCACAGGAGGAGATAGCTGTGGGGGATGGAGTGGTAGGAAGAGTGGAGGAGGTCGGCAAGTTAGCAGGGGGTGGGGTAGGCTTCCCTGAAGAGATGGGTTTTCAGGGTGCGCCTAAAGGAGAGGAGAGTAGGTGATAATCTGATGGGTTGGGGCAGGGAGTTCCAGAGGATGGGTGACACCCTGGAGAAGTCCAGGAGGCGGGCATGGGAGGAGGAGACCAGGGAACTAGAGAGAAGGAGGTCTTGTGAGGAGCGGAGTGTGCGTGCTGGGCGGTACTTGGATATTAGGTCAGTGATGTAGTTCGGGGCAGTATGGTGGACAGCTTTGTACGTCAGTGTTAGGATTTTGAATTTGATCCGTTGCGCAATCGGAAGCCAGTGGAGGTATTGGCAGAGGGGGGGTGGCGGAGACAGAGCGGTTGGAAAGGTGAATGAGTCTGGCAGCCGTATTCAGGATCGACTGAAGCGGGGATAGCCAGCGGCGAGGCAGGCCAGTGAGGAGGGAGTTGCAGTAGTCGAGTCGTGATATGATGAGGGAGTGGATGAGCTGTTTAGTGGTTTCTGGGGTTAGGAACGTGCGGATTTTGGCGATGTTGCAGAGGTGGAGTCTGCACGAGTTTGTTAAAGATTGGACTTGGGGCTGGAAGGATAGGTTGGAGTCCAGAATGACACCCAGTACTCTGGCCTGCAGGGCGGGTTTGATGGTAGCGTTGTTGGATGTGACGGAGAAATCAATGGGGGGCGGTGTCCGGGCTGGGGGGGAAGACAAGAAACTCGGTTTTGGAGAGGTTCAATTTAAGGAAGTGGAGCGACATCCAGTCTGATATGTCGCTCAGTAGGTGTGTGATTCAGGCTGAGACCAAGGGGGTGAGGTGGGGGGTTGAGAGATAGATTTGTGTGTCGTCGGCATAGAGGTGGTAGTTGAAGCCGTGAGAGTGTATGAGTTGGCCAAGGGAGGAGGTATAGATGGAGAAGAGAAGGGGCCCAAGGACAGAGCCTTGAGGGACCCCAACAGAGAGGGGGAGTGAGGGGGAGGTGGTAGCATTATAGGTAACGCTGAAGGAGCGTTGTGACAGGTAGGATGAGAGCCAGGAGAGAGCAGAATCTCTGAGGCCGAGGGAGTGTAGTTTTTTGAGGAGGAGGGGGGGTGGTCGACTGTGTCGAAGGCCGCAGTGCAGCAATGTTAGTACAGCATAGTACTGCTCTCCTGTGTCCTGATAGGGGGGCCCCTGACACCCCCCCTCCTTTCCTTGCCAGAACACACTTGTCAGCACTTGCAGCTATTTTACATCTACAGTAAGTAGTCTGGCAACATGCACATTACCACAGTGCACATTACATGCATTGTCTTCTTGCGTTGCCATTCATTTTGAAAAGCACCCCAATGCAATAAGGCAATGCACGTGTTGCAACACATGGCAATGCACCATAGTATGTTGCAGTGCGGCAAAAGATTTTTCTGCATCGGACTGCCTTAATGCAATGTGACACAATGCACACTAATGCAAGTACATTTATGCACTGCATAAATATATATTGTGTTTCCCCAACTTCCCCATAATAAACCATGCGCTGAAGTGCAGTGCATTTTGAACATTTTAACCTGTCCATTTTTTCTGTGTTTTAGTGTCATTGTCAGTGACTGTTAACATCATCTACTCCAAATTTTTATTATGTCAAAACACGTCAATGCACAAAGGAAATGCACAATGACACAAGACAATGCACCTGCATAACACTAAAAAAAAAACTTTCAGCTCTTTGCAACAAAAAGCCCATTGTAGTTCTCTTAATAAACAGAAAGCTATAGCTGTGATAGTGGGAATTAGCTCAGTGGGAAAAGACACATTTTCCTTTCCAGGGCATAGTCTAGTGAAAGGTGTCACTTAATGAATTCGTAAGAAGCAAGGGTCCAGTTTGCATTTGGCCTTGAATATTATAATATTTAGTTAACAGACCTTAACTCTTTTGTGACCAGAGGTCATTAATGCATTGATACAGCCATATTTAGCAGCATTAATATAGAAACATAGGGTGCAAATCAAAAAGTAATATCTACAGCTTTATGAATTGTAGTAAAATACCTCTTAGCGTTTTTTCAAAAAATGTTTTGTAATTCGCTAAAAAGAAATGCTATTAAAATACTGCATGAGCTATTGTATGAAGTGGTGTGGTATTTTAGTAGTTAAAGCGAGTGGCATTTTAACGCCTAACAGTCTGTGAATAACTGGTTGTTAAGGAGCTCATCTGCTGTCAGCTGGATTCCCCCTTCCAGTAGAATGTAAGGAAAAGAATTGCTGGTATTAAAAAAACAGCATGGAGGTCCTTTCAAATTCCCCTACCAGACCTGAAAGGGCCTAGTATGGATGGGAGAAGAGACCCCACGCTGTTTTTAAACATTTTTTTTTAATGCTGGCAATTCTTTTGTTTACATTCTGCTGTCAAATAGATGAGTCATGATTGTTAAGGACATGGCATCCACCTACTTCACTGATGACCTACTAACTGCTAAAACCAATGGCCATTACTCCATACTCATACTCTTAGACCTTTCCTCTACATTTGACACAGTCGACCAACCACATCTCCTCTGTAAACTCCAATCCCTTGGTCTCCATGACTAGTCTTTCCTGGTTCTCCTCTTACTTATCTCAGTGCACTTTCAGCGTCACATACAACACCAACTCTTTCATTCCTCTTCCTCTTTCTGTTGGGGTACCTCAAGGCTCAGTCCTTAGGACCCTCTTTTTTTCCTTTCTACACCTCTTCCCTGAGCCATCTGACAACCTCCCATGACTTCCAATACCACCTCTGTGCTGACGACACCCAGATCTATCTCTCTACTCCTTAGCTCACATCCTCAATCTCTTCACGTATCTACAGAGCGACATATCAGTATGCATGTCACACCACTTCCTCCAACTCACTCTTTCTAAAACTGAGCTTGTTTTAGAAGGAGGATATTTCCTCTTTCCTCACTCATGATCCCCTACTCATGACTTTACCATTAAGATCAACAGCACAACAATTGGTCCCTACCCCTAGGTGTAATCCTAGACTCTGATCTCTCCTTCAGGCCCCACATACAATCACTGGCTAAATCACTTCCACCAGATCATCCCCTCCAGCTATCACCTTTGGTACCCCCTCCCCATTCTTTTAGATTGTAAGCTTCATGAGCAGGGCCTTCCTATTCCTTCTGCATTGAACTGTATTGTAATTGTACTGTTCCCCTTTAAATTGTAAAGCAGCATGTAAACTGTTAGTGCTATATAAATCCCATACATTATTATTATTAATAATAATAATAAGCAGAAAAAAATGGTTAATCAAGTCTGCAATATATATATATATATATATATATATATATATAAATACTATATTTCCAAAAGTATCATTGATATAAAAAAAAAATTGGATTCAGGTGTTCCAATCACCTCCATGGCCACAGGAGTATAAAAATCAAGCACCTGGGCATGCAGACTGCCTCTTCAAACATTTGTGAAAAAATGGGTCGCTCTCAGGAGTGAATTCAGGCGTGGTACTGTGATAAGTTGTCACCTGTGTAATAAGTCTATCCATGAAATTTCCTTGCTGCTAAATTTTCCACGGTCAACTGTGGCAATAAAACAAAGTGAAAGCAACTGGGCACAACTGCAACTCAGCCATGAAGTGGTAGGCAGCATAAAATGACAGAGCGGGGTCCATGCATGCTGAAGCACACAGTGCGCAGAAGTGGCCAACTGTCTGCAGAGTCAATAGCTAAAGACCTCCAAACTTTGTGTGCCCTTCAGATTAGCACAACAACAGTGCATAGAGAGCTTCATGGAATGGGTTTCCATGGCCAAACAGCTGCATCCAAGCCTTACATCACCAAGTGCAATGCAAAGCGTCAAATGTAGTGTTGTAAAGCACGCTGCCACTGGACTCTAGAACAGTGGAGATGTGTTCTCTGGAGTGACTAATCATGCATCTCTGTCTGGCAATCTGATGGACATGTCCGGGTTTGGCGGTTGCCAGGAGAACGGTACATGCCTGACTGCATTGTGCCAAGTGTAAAGTTTGGTGGAAGGGGATTATGGTGTGGGGTTGTTTTGCAGGGATTTGGCTTGGCCCCTTAGTTCCAGTGAAGAGAACTCTTAAGGAATCAGCATACCAGGACATTTTGGACAATTTTATGCTCCCACTTTGTGGGAACAGTTAGGGGATGGCCACTTCCTTTTCCAACACCGCTGTGCACCAGTACACAAAGCAAGGTCCATATAGACATAGATGAGCAAGTGAGGAACTTGACTGCCCTGCACAGAGTCCTGAC